CCATTACCTAGCTGAAGTGCCTCGAGAGGCCTCGGCAGCCTAGAGGAGGTATACTGTCACGGTTTTCTTGAAGTTGTTAGCTCCCAAGATTTACTTCTTGTTATTTCACTAAGGAATTCTGTGAGGCATCTGGAAGAGCCTCTCTTACTCTCCTGGCTGGTTAGGGTATACTTGTTGGAGGCATGTAACTATTGGGTATGAGGGCTGTATTGTTATTTTCCTTTATTTTCCTTTTCTTTTTATTTTCCTTGTTCGTTTGTTTTTTTCTTTCCTCTTTACACGACCTGTCATCACCTTCCTGTACTACCAAGCAAGGCTACTCTATTCTTTTTTTCTGCTCCAGACTAGCTCTCCTATCCTGTCCTCTGTCAAATCCCTGTCGAAATCAGATACTCCAGCACCATCCTCCGTTAAGCCTCCAGTCAATCCCCGTTCTCTACCCTGTCGTGAAATCAGTCCCGAAGAACCTACCAGTCCTTGGCTCCTAGTCCAGGTGTGTACCTTGGAGCATTTACCTACTACCTCGTTTCCCGTTACAACCTTGAGCCAAATTCCACCTGGAAATTCTGAAAAATAAAAAAATACGGTAGATTCATTACCGTAATCTCGGACCGAGCCGATCTATTCGGTGAAAGCAGAAGGTGCTCCGCAAGGGATTGTGCGACTCACAGATTCTACCGCACCAATGCTTGTTTACACTAGGGGGGGGGCACTGGATCTTGATACGGTATTGTACCAATCGATCTGTATTGTCCAGGACTCGAGGATAACAATGCTCGAGTATTTTCGGAGGTTTAGATAAGATGAAGCCCCAGATTAAGGTTTGGCCACGGTCAAGGCTCACGAGTACCGGTAAGTTGCCACATAACGGTGCCATACGGCAAGATGGCAACAGGCTCGGTGATTCGGCACATTTGCGCTAGAATTCGTCATTTTAAAGAGTCATTCGCTAGGCACAGCTCACCAAAGATTGGAGACATTGTCCTACCAGTAAGGCACTGCCGAGGCAATACGGTAATCATAGTAAACTGATAATGATGATTTCTTCTCAAGTCGTGGTAGAACTCAACAGGCATAGCGCCTCGCGCCCCTGATACGTGCCGTGCCCGGGTACAGTATACGAGTACACGTAAATGTTTGTGATGGGACAGACAGGGGTTCGGGTCCGGGAGCTCACTCACATTCCGAGGTAAAAAAAGTGATTTAACTCGGTAGGGACGATGTCAGGGTGGGTAAAAAGCTTTGGAATCTTGAACCCTTCCGTCCCATGACTAACCTCTAACCCGAGAACTTGAGCATGAGTACCGGTGCACTTCAAATCGATCACCGGGAATGCCGAGAAAGGTGCTGCAGCTCTAGATGAATTGCCATCAATTAGAGAGGAGGAGTGAGATCTTCGTCCATTTCCGGTGTGAGACGCCCAATATCCCGGGCTCGTGTCCACGTTCTGCACTACCGTACCGTATTCGAGTACCGTACTGTACTGTTAAAGTACTAGTACCGTACTCGCACCGTACGCGAGCAACTAGTACCTGCAGCCGGTTTTCGCCGCCACTCCCGAGATCGTATGTGGTGGGTACGGTACTTGAACTGCGCTGTACGAGTACCGTACAAGTACCTACTCGTACTGGTGTATCCAGCCCTATTAGAAAAGGTGTTTATCACACGCGGAGCTGCATTAGCGTGACAGATTCCCTACCTTTTAGGCCGAAGGCTGCGGTGCAATACCGGTAGCGACCTACCGGTAGCTGCAATGACCCGTTCCGGATACGATACGGTACGGGAGTCTTCGAGCGCGCCCTCATGGCCGACTCACTATTCATCACTCGGGCGCGCTCCACTCCCGACAATACCATACTAATCATCGCTATCCTTATCCTCCGGTTTCAGAATTGCTGATTTAAGATGCGGGGTATAGGTGCAGTACGGTATCGTGCTTGCACGCTGGCAGCACGTGGCCTAGCCTATCCCGGCACACTATACGAGCTCAATCACGAATCCGTATTCTCGGTGGATTACCGGTACCGGCACCTGTATTTACTGGTCGGTACCTTTAAAGTACACTCCTTCATTTCCGTTTATCCTTTCTCCCGGACGGTGGAGTACCGGTACCCTGCCGCCCTTTACGAGAGCGGAGGTATTGTAGGGTACCGGTATTGACGAATACCGGTACTTGTGCTATGCAGGGCGACTAGCGAGATTCACCGGCCACTGATACGGGAACAAGTGCCCGGGGGAGGGGGGGGCGTATTTCCGTCCGGTTTTTGTCAGGGAGCCAATGTTACTAGTAGATACCGGTATGTTAGACAGAAGGATCTATTGAACCCCTGGACGGCATCACGACTACTAGTATAGAGATGCGAACAATATAACACAACAGTCTCATACTACCCGGAATCCGGGATTTCCGTAGATGAGATATAGACAGCCCCCGTAAGATGTATCGACAAATAGAGCAAATAATTATGTATAATATAGTTCAAGCGGTGCAAAACGTGCACCAGGAATTTTCGAGTTTTAAAATTCTATAGGCTTTATCAATCTACAACTTTATAACAATAATAATAATAATAATAATAATAAAACCCAGCATATAAAGTAAAGAAGCAGGAGAATAGTTACTGTTTCTCTCCTCTTTTTTTCCAATTTCAACCAGTAGGAAAGGAACCTACAGCTTTTTAAAAATAGGTATTTTCGGTGGGAATGGCAATTTTTTTTTTTAAATCAGCCACACTTTACCCGCTTATTAATCTTATAATATATAACACTGATATAGGGCTCAGGGTAGAATCAAATACAGTAAACCCCATCCTTAAAAAAATTATTTCCCGAAACTTACCATCATGAATTATCACCAGAAAACTGAAGAAAGGACTCATTTTCAATCATAATATTATCATGTCATACATGGAATATTGGACCTACTGTGGATATCCTGTAGTATCATATTGATAGACTGACAAGTTTTAGAATCAAACATGTTGGACACTCGTGTCTGAAAAGTCCCCTTACCCCTTGCATAGCGACAGGAGTGAACACCAACCAGCTTTGTGATATTTATGTGATATTTATTAAAAAAAATTCTAGATATATGGATGAATCATGGATAGAATTTAATGCTTTTAAGTTCAGTTTCGACTTATCGGTCCCCTTTGCCCGAAAAGAAGAAAAAAAAATCACAAGCTTGGAGAGGTGGTATATGTAACTTGAATGGCAGATACTGAATATGATGAAGTGCAATTGCTAACGATTCACAAAGTTCTGAGATATCTTCATCGATCGGGCTATCACTATCCTTTTCATCCGCAGTGAAGGTACCGGTATCCGTACCCAATTCCTATTTTGATTTCTTTCAATCTCTTCAGCCTTATCATCGAACAGGATCTTTTAAAGGAAACTCGCGTGTAACAACTCCTGACGCTCTTTCTGAACCGTACTTTTGTGAGTTTTTTGGGGCATTGTGGTATTCGTTTGATGTCTTGCAAAATGTATTCTTCTAATCTTTAGTATTTTCAGGGCCTCTTTGTTTACTTTACTTTGCATTAGTTGCGAGAAATAAAAAATTTCCACTGGTCTAACATCTGGCTTATTCGTTCACGGGACTCAAGGTTCAAACATTCAAACATTTCCATATGAGTTATCTATTGGCCATCCAAGTCACACTATATACAAGCCAATAATATTTTTTTCTTTTTCACACTCAACCGTTGTTTTTCTTCTTAAGTTTGAATACTCCTCCTGGCTGGTCCTTCAAATCACCTCTTCCTATTTAATAGGAATCCTTCTTCGTCCGTCTCGGCGCTGGCTGGCGGAATCCGAACATGTTGTGCAATAGCTCAGAAGTCCTCACTAAATTTTGGCACCCCACTGCCGTGCAGCCAGAAGATATCGCGATGGCTCTCGCTTGCGTGCCGATAGAGGTATCCGAGGACAATCTGAGTCTTTCTGAGCAAGGTTAGTAAACCCCTAAAATAGCGATCATGAATACATACCGGGAACCGCCTAATCCATGAAGTGCGATCAGGGTGCGCCCGTTATGCTCAGAAAACCTCGTTAGCGACTCAATGAGACCTTTACGGCCCGTGAACTTGGTGTTTCAGCAATAGGGAATTATGCGAGAAGGCCTGGATGTGTGTCCTACTTGTAATAGCGCATTAGATCTTTGCCGGAAATCTCTCGGAAGGCTGATGGTATGGTACCTTTGTTCCCTAGTTGTTCGGACATATTTCTGCGCCGGGATTTTTTTGTCTCACGGCCGCCGGTCTGTGCCTTCGCCTCCCCCGCGGGCGGGAGCAACCACAGCCCATGTTTGCGTTATTGTTGTTGTTGCTACCGAAAGTAGAAATGGGAGGTGTGGTTGTTGGGCTATTTCGTTTGCTTAACCACCAGAGCTGACTCCACAACCGCTGGCTCCACGAGGACTTTGGTTGAAGGGGCTGTTTCCGGTCCCATCCTGGCGGACACGTCGTATTCACCTAGATATGCTTTTGTGAGGAACCCTATCGCATACGGTATTAGTATTGAATGGATGGGGGTTCATGAATAAGAATGTACTCGTACTTACCACCGTTTGCCCCACCAAGCAGGAAGCAAAGTTGCCGAACCTTTAGTTTTATTTCGGACTTGAGCTCTCTGAACCCTTGCTCCATCCTTGCCCCTGTCTGCTGATCACCTGATGCACTTCGCCAATCGACTTGTGCACCTCGCTTTTGGAATCTCTAATATCCCATTAAATTGTTAGCTTTCATCGTACGTTTGAGTAATACACGACATGTATTTATGATGCCATCAACACACCCATCTATTCTCAAAACATGACTCTGCTGCTTTAAAGGCTTATGGCCCGTTTACCTAACCGTCTATTTTGTGAAATTTGTATTGTAGGCTTTGACGGTGCCAACTGTGTTCACCTAATTTTCAACTGTCGAAAATTTTGGGTGTTAGATTTTAATCTGCCAGAAATGGTGGAAAAGGGTGAGGAAGTTGGAAATTGGGAGTTGAAAACTCTCACCTCGTGTCATGTTGTAAAAAGGGTTGATCCACGCTTGGACGGTGCGGTACTGGTAGATGTTGCATTACTGTAAACAGCACGTTAGGTAAACACAGAATGAGAATTGAGCCCCAGACGCTTCTGACCGTTAAGACCCCCTTGGGCCCTGTTCGGCAACGACCATTCCGTTCGGTTCACCCATACAAATTGCCTTGTGGTTCCGTTCGCGAACGGCCAATTTGTATGTACGAACGGAATGGAACGGTCGTTGCCGAACAGGCCCCATCTGTAGGTAAACGGGTAGTGTTCGTTACGGGGCGGGGCGGGGCAGGTTTTGCCCTCGGGGCCCCGCCGTTACACGGGCCCGGGGGGTATTGTGTCGGTCCTCCCCCCCGCCCCCGTCCGGGGCCCCACCCCGGTCTTTCCCTGGACGGGACCCCGGAGACCCCGTAACGAACTCTATAAACGGGTCCTTATTAGTTGTAACTCCAACCATTGCATATTGGATAACATACCAAGTGGTCATCATGTTTCCTACTTTATTGCCCACCGTGCAAAAGAAAATCTTTATCTGAAGTCTTCATGCTAGTCATGCTTTAAAAGACTGTGTATAGGGGATAAAAGCAGACTGGATTCTTCTAGGAAAAGCAAAGTAAATGGTTTGTAGGTAAATGTTTTGTGAATACTCGACAATGGGATGGAAAGATGGTTGGCAAGAGGAAATACCCCTATTTACGGATAGAACAAACCCTGGTTTTGCCTCTACGCTACACCTAAGTATAAATATGACTACAGTAAGTACTCGGTAAATCCACTATCCGGTATCAGGGGCTTGTCAAATGAGTATGAGTTTGATTCTTTGCTGATCACTAAGATTAACAACATTGAGTTTACGGTATGTATAATACTATGATAATAGTATTGCATACCACCAAAATTTAGCTTTTTTGTTTAAGCCTGGGTTTTATATCAGAAATGCACACTGTTAAATAATATATAGCATAGACTGAGTATGCATATTGAGGCCCTGTTCGGCAACGACCATTCTGTTGCCCGTTTGCCCATACAAATTGCCTTATGGTTCTGTTCGCGAACGGCCATTTTGTATGTACGAACGGAATGGAACGGTCGTTGCCAAATAGGCCCTAAAATATGGGAGACACAAAAGAAGTGCCCGTGGAAGCTAGGTTTGAGAGCCATCACTAAAATATGAGTATTATTGACTCAGATAAGTACCAACTTGAATACCGTACTTCAATATTTTTTATGTAAAATTCTTCACTGTGTGTTTTGTACGTTGGGGTGCTTTGTTTGGTAGGCCTAGCTCTTGTCTTCAGGGTGAAGTTTGTGTTTCCTAAGTGTGTGTGAGGGGGTTGGTTGCAGGGGTATGGTTGATGATTGGTTGTATGATATGATATAATATCATACTCGGGGCAGTAGTGGTACCAGAGGGTGCCAAGGCTTCATGAGGGCATGTCTTCTTATAAGTCTCTTATTATTGAAATGAACGGCACAATCACCCTACCCAACCAATAGAAGACAAGAGGGCAGCCTAAATCCCTTTGCATCCATCACCATGCAAATCTTGCCCTGCAGATCATCCCTTCATCATAAAGGTATCCTCATCAATCACCACCCGCTGACACTAAGATTGAACACCTCATTAGTGAGCGGGAAGGAGTATTCTGCGCAGCTGCACAGGCAGTTTGAAGGATTTATTGGATACCCGAGGGGCCCGCTGGCGATCTAGATAGAACGAGGGTGAGGTTGGACTGTGCAGGTCAGTGGAGTAGTGGTGAAGATATAGGTGGGGTGGGGGCAGAGGAAGAACGTTGGGATCAGCAGGCAGTGAGATCTGCACCTAGTCTTGGGCAGATTCTGGGGAGTACTAAGGGCTGGACCTGGAAGGTTCTAAGAGGTTGCGGCCGGAGGGGTTGGCGGGCGGGAGGGAATAGGGATTGGCGGTAGTTTGGTATACCGCCCCCCCTCCCTCCACTATCAAGCAACTAACAAGCCGATGAGATCAACCCTCCACTTCCACCCCCACCACGCCTTCTCCTCCCCACAGGCTCTGACTCTACCCTCCGTCTACCCAATACCCTTTCAACAGCTCCTCCACCGCTCCGGCACAAGCGCAAGCACTGGCGGCAGGCGGGAATACCTCCAGATCACCGCGACAACCACAACCCTCAAAGGTAACCCGGATATACGGTCCGGTGGAGGTGTATAGGTCAATGGAGACCTTCCGTATCTCCCAAATGGAAATAACACGGTCGGGGGTATTTGAATCCAGTGTACAGTACACTCAGAGATGATGAATCGGCATACACTGCAGGGGCCCGAGAAGACCCTTAAACCAGACTGTCCGGACTCTTTAACAAGTGTCAGCATCCCAGCTATAGTTTTGCAAGACGAAAGAAAATAGGATAAATCAGAGGCGATGAATCCGGGTGGACTGGAGGGGCACGAGAGGATTCTTAGACCAGGCCACGGGGACATACTGTCAAGTACCAACAACCATTCTGGGGTGCCGCAGGACCAAGGAAAGCACGATGAACCAGAGAGATTGAATCGGTGTGCCCTGGAGGGGTGCGAGAAAACCCTTGGGCCAGACCATTCAGAAACCCTAACCAGTGTCCGCAACCTAACTACGGTGTCGGGATTGTAAGGAGTGTGTGTCGATTAAGAAAAAAAAACGATAAGGCGAGGTCCGCGGTAGGAACTGCCGAGAAACTTGGACAATATATGGCCCCAATACGCTGGCTGTGCTCTCCGCCGTTCACCCTGAACCTTAGTCCTCCACCTGGTTAATGGGCCTGCAGGGTGACTCACCATACTGTAGGCACTTCGGTTGGACTAGGGGTGAGAGAAGTGGGCTACAAACTTCAATTAGTCCAAGAGATAGGAGGAATATGTACGGGGAAAAAGTGGGAGACTGTAGGACCGAGAAAAATGATAAGGTCAAGGCTGCAAGTGGCGAGCTGTTGGAGTGTAGTGCGAAGGAAGTGTTGGCAATTTTTTCCTTCTTTTTGTATTTGATTTCCCTTGGTTCTCTTTTCTGTTTACGGTTTATCTGTTCGTATGCCTTCTCACCTGTCAAAATTCCTCATAATAATTCTCCATCCTTTACTCCTGAGAATCACAATAACTCATGAATGCTTGTTAGCATTCAATACTCGAGTATTGTATAATAGTATAGCTGAACACTGCATCCCACGCGTGGGGGGGGGGGGGGGGAGGCTCCCGCAGTAGTGAAAAAAACAGTCAGTCCGGCCAAGGTGATTGAATGAACTTTAACCAAAGTTTTGAATAAATATTAGAATTTGGAATCCAAGCCTCATTGGAGCCTATTTGTCTTGTTAAATTATTATTATTAGCTCCTGCATCTCTACATATTAAATTCCACCGCCAACCGATTTCCCCTCTGCAAATTCAGTCACTTTCTAGCAGGACCGTCAAGTATTGGGGGGTGATTAATGAAGATACCTTCCAGATGAGGAAGTGATTGACTGGGCAGCATTTTTATGGCAATGGATGCAACAGAATTTGGGCTGCCCTCTTGTCCTCTATTGGTTGGCTAAGGTGCTTGTGCTGTTGATTTTGATGGTAAGAGACTTGCAAGAAGATATGTACCCTTGGGAAGCCTTGATGCTCCTTGGAGCTCCTGCTATTTTCCATAATATGATATTATGTTATACAATTAATTATCAACAATACTAATAAATTCTCTCATCTGCATTTGGGCAACATAAGACCTATCTTAAAGATGAGAACTGGATCTATCAAATAAAGTACTCTAAAGTACAAAATATATAGAGAAAAATTCTACATAAAAGGAGTTCAAGTATGATGTTGTTGGTATTTTTTAATAATATTTATATTATTGTAATAGCTTCAAGAACTAGTAGCTTTGACTTTTTTTGTAGTACCTATTTTTTAAGATACAGGACCTTAATACATATACTCAGTCCATACTATATATTATTAAATGATATATATCTCTTGTGTAAGAACCAGGCCTAACTAAAAAAGCTGTGAGTAAATTTTATTGTAGCAGTATATAATACTGGTATTATAATATCACATATACTTTAGACTTAATACTAATAATTTTTATAATTAAAGACAAATTGAATCTATACTAGTATTAGTATGCCAAGCTCCTGGTACTTAATACTAGTAGATTTACTAAGAATTTACTATAGTAATACTTATACCAAGATATGGTATAGAGGAAAAACTATAGTTTGTTATATCTATAAATAGAGGTATTGTCTGAAGCCAACTATGTTTTAATTCTACTATGAAATTTCTACAAAATATCTATTTATAACTAATATGCTTTATCTTTTTCAGAAGAATATAGTCTGTTTCAATTTCTTAAGCAAAATCTTTTAAAGTATAACTAGTATAAAGACTTCAGATATAGATTTCCTTTTGTATCATGGGTAACTAAGAAGGAGATATGATGACCACTTGTTATTTTATCTGATATGTAATAGTTGGTGTTACAGTTGGTAAGTTTTTACAAAAGTAGAGTTGTATTTTAAAAATAGTATTTAAAATATAGAGTATATGATGATCTTAATAACTGTACCAGTATATACTAGTAGAAAGAACAATATAGTATAAAGTATATATTATGAGTATGATGCAAAGCGTAACAAATGTAGACCAAGCCCGTTGCATCCTGTAACGCCTCTAAATCATCAGGGTAGAGGGTTAATAAATTTTACAGGTTTTAAGTTCAATTCATACTGCTGTGTAAGTTTTTCCAATATTT